GCTGCCCAGCAGGTTTGTGGAGTCTCTTTCTCTGGAGAGATTCACAACCTGCCTGGATGATGTCCTGCGCAACCTAGTCTAGGTGAACCTGCTTTAGCAGGACGGCTGGAGTAGGTGATCTATGGAGGTGTCCTGGTTTCAGCTGGGATAGAGTTAATTTTCTTCATAGTAGCTAGCATAGTGCTGTGTTTTGGATTTAGTACCAGAAGAATGTTGATAACACACTGATGTTTTTACTTGTTGCCAAGTAGTGCTCAGACTACTCAAGGACATTTTGAGCTTCTCCTGCTCGGCCAGTACTACAAGAATTTTGATAACACACTGATGTTTTTAGTTGTTGTTGAGCAGTGCTTACACCAGCCAAGGACTTTTTGAGCTTCTCCTGCTCGGCCAGGTGCGTAACAAGCTGGGAGGGAGCACAGCAAGGACAGCTGACCCAAACTGACCAAAGAGCTATTCCATACCATATAACATCATGCTTGGGGGGAGTTAGTTGGTCGGAGAGGGGGAAGAGCGATCACTGCTCAGGATGGGCTGGGCATCAGTCGGCAGGTGGTGAGCAATTGCATTGTGCATCATTCGTTTTGTATATTCTGTATATTCTCTTGCCATTCTCATTATTATTTTTTTCTCTTATTAAACTGTCTCTATCTCAGGCCATAGCTCTTATCTTTTTTTTTTCTTCCTGATTCTGTCCCCCATCCCACTGGGGGAGGGGGGAGTGAGCGAGAGGCTGCGTGGTGCTTAGTTGCCAGCCAGGTTAAACCACAACATATAGTAACTCTCATGTTGCTGATGCTTCAGGAAAGCAACAGCACCAGCAACTGGGAAGTCACTTGTCAACCAGAGGAGTCAGAAATAAGAACAAGGACAGTTTTGACCCTTCAGACTTAATACCTGCTGTATGAGTTTCTTGTGGTTGCCGGTACGTAAGTCAGGCATAAACAGCAGACGTGGATCTCATTCATCCTGCCTACCACCAAGGGGACTGAATGTGTGTATCTGACTGAAGGTTTGCTAATTCTGAACTGTGAGGATTTGATGGAATTGCTATGAAAAAGAAAAGAAATAAAGCTAAAGACACAGTGTCTGAGAGTATACGTATATCCCATGATAGTACCTGAACCTACCTTAAAAGTGTAACAGCACACTTGTAATAATTTTCAGACTTAAAAAAAACCCCAAAACAACCAACCTAAACCAAAGCCTCTGTAGCTTACTGGTAAGAGAAACAAACTGGCATTCGCGACCATCTGGCTAGTCTTGTCCCAAGCTCCTGCAACAAGCACCTATAACAAAGAACTAGTAACACGAATGCTCTGTACCTGCATCTTCCTCTTTACAGTCTCAAAGGGGAAAGAAAGTGTCTGTGCCACACCAGCTGCGACACAGCCATTTATGAAATTCTGAAGAGGAGTGAAATGAACTATGGGTTCTCGCCAGATCTTGTCCAGGTTGATGTAAACAAAGAATGAGCCTGCAGAAAATGGGACAGCACCTAGAAAGCAAACCAGACAGGTTCATATCAACACACTGTACACTAAGAAAACAGAGCTGCTCCTCACATAACCTAGAAATATGGGATGAGCCGCTGCCAGTTTACACCTCGCATTGCTCAAACCAGATCAATATTTTGAAGAACTTTACTTTTTAGTCACTGGTTTACCACCAAACACTCATATTGTGGCATCTGTATGTGCTGATGGGGCATATATTTACATATTAAAATACGCATGTTGTCAGAGTGGTTAACTGCTTTAGTCTCATGAGAGGTCAGCTCTTTCTCCAGGTTCTCTCTTTTGTGACAAGCTCTTTCCCCAGTCCAGCCCAACCCTGGCAGCTGTACAGGTAAACAGAGCTGCCTCTTCAGTCAAGCTGATGAGGGATACTTCTATCCTCTTTTGCTTGTTTCATGCTCTCATCAATTTTATAGTTATACATTACTATTATTATGCATTTTTTATAAAATTGCCATATTGTGAAAAAGTGGCATTTAAAAAAGCTATAGAGAGTAAACAAGTAATTAAAAAGTCATTTCATGTAAAGAGAGAATATCACTAATATTCACTTTTCACAACAGTTACACATTACTGCTCATACTGGCTTCACTGAACAGCTGGAGACACTCTCACACCTAGATAGGAATTAGGAACACCATATGTACATTTTTTTTTTTTTTAACAAGAGTTAAACAGTGGAAATCGTGCATCCGAGCACAAATAGGTCATCTATAAAAACACCTAGATAGGAATTAGGAACACCATATGTATATATATATAGTTTTTTTTTTAAAAAGAGTTAAACGGTGGAAATCGTGCATCCGAGCACAACTAGGTCACCTATAAAAGAAGGAAAAGAGTATGTTGTTGAACACTTAACTATACATAAAATGCTATGTACTCGGTCATAATTTGAAGCAATAAAGCTGCAGCAGAGGTAATCAGTATTGTTGTGCCTTGTAAATCTATGTACCTTCTACAGAAGAACATTACTGTTTGCTTTTGAAATCAAGTGAACAAACGAACATGCTACATAGTTGCAATAAACAATGCGCAACAAGGTGATTTTTCCCCATTATTATTTTACCTAATATAGCTGGTGAAACACCACGGTAGAGTGCGAGGAGTCCTTCTTGATGATAAATTTTGTAAAAAGCATGAAGAATTCCTTCATAAGATGGTTCCAGTCGGTTCTGCACAATGAGCCGTGTTTTAATTACATCAGTGGGGTAAGTCACGATGGTTGCAACCATGCCAGCCAGACTGCCTGCCATGATGGCTCTCCAGTGGGAAATATGACCCAACTCATCCGTGAAAAGTATAACAAGTCTAGAGTAAACACATAGAAGAGGTACTATTAATGATAGTAGGAACAAAACATGTGAAAAACTAAGGCAGATTATTCTTGATGTAATTGTTTTTCTGCCCACAACCTCCTTTAGCAGCAGGAACTGAAACTTTAGCATGTATTTCATCCAAGACCTTACTATATATAAAACCACACAAGCATCAGAACCTCCATGAAACAGAACATGTGAACGGGCAAACATGAGCAGAGTCCAAAGAGATTTTGGATAAATCCATGCCACACAGAAGTGCAGAAATGCAAAAGTTCTAGTTAACAACTAAGTCAGGAACTGGAATATACAACTCTGCAAATGCAATTTGCTTTGATTTTAGCATTACCAAGCTAAAATACTTCCAGTACCTGAAAGAATTTTTTTTAGAGGCAGCTTGCATAGCTCTACTTGCACCACAGTTCCCAGCACAGACTAAGCTCATGTAGCTCGAGTTGTGGTACCGTGAGGGAGGTCCAGAGCACCAATTCAAAAAAGAAAAAAATCTTCAAAGATACAGAGACTAATTGTTCAAACAATTTACTTGTTTGCTTTGAAAGAGACTTTTAAAGTAATTTTTGACCACAGAATCCTCATTTATATTTCCATCTACAGGATAAAAATTACCATTAGTTGAAACATGTCTGCAAGAAATCCTCTGATCATCACTTAGAGACATTGGTCCAATCCCCCCAAAGTTATCATGTAAAAAGAAATATGTAGATAACATCATCACAGGCCTTCTGAGATAAAACTGAACCTTCCTCTGTTCCTGATGTTGGGACAGAAAGGTCCACAGGGATACTTCTCCAGAGAAAACTTATGTCCAGGCACTAATATGCTTGGGAGGTTAAGTCTAAATTTGAAATTTTGAAATTGAAACACAGAGTTGCAAAGGCTAACCTACAACTCATGCATTTGTCATACACAGAAGGATTTTTCTATGTATGCAGGGCACTCCTACATCAGGGAGAAGTGTCACGGAGGCAGCAAGAAGCAAGTAAAAAGACTCAAGAGGAGAATCGTAGCTGGAGGTAAAGAAACTTATTATTCTATTTTGGAAGCATTAACTAAACTGCCCAAATGGCAGATTTACATTTAAACTACACAGCATTACCACATCCAGAACAAAATAATTTTCCAAGATTTGCAAGTCACTGCTTGCTCGGTTGATGTTTTTTTCACGTGTGTGCATTTTCTACTGCATGACAGATCCCTGCGTTTACTTGTCTCGTGCCCTGGAGAGACTCCAGAGCAGAAAGACTCGCCAAGCAGATGCGAACGGACATAAACTTTTTTTCCTATGAGTCTTGTACAGTCCCTAAAGCAAGACAGCCTGATTTTCCTGCGCATGCACAAATGCGTGGAGAGGGTGGTGGGGTGTCTCTAGGCACTACCCAGATAACATTTAAAACTGCCACGGAAAGAGCCTGTGCACAGTAACCGCAGACGGAGTGCAGAGTCAGCTAAACCCTCCCTTCCCCAGCCAGCTCCCCCCGCTCCGCTGTTGCTGGGGCTGCTGGCTGCGCCCAAACCTGGTCCTTCTGCAACTGGCATTACTATTTACTTAAGTTACTGTGTAACATTTCTCTTTTTGTATTTCTTGCCTTTATATACACCATTCTTTCACACCATTCAAATAATGTATCAAGACATTTGTGTGGGCCTTTTTTTTTTTTTTTTTTTTAATTTCCTGGTAGACTACTTCCACTAGTAATTCAAAAGAACATCCTGTGCAAACTAGAGACAAACTACAGCCTTGCAAAGGGAATACACTGTTTCAGGCTGAACAAACAATGAAATTATTTTGCTCAAAATCAACTGGTTTATACTGGTGCAACCCACTGAGCCTTCTGGGAACTTTAAGTTACATTTAAATCACTGTTTCTGCTTTCCCACTGCCATTATCCCTCCCCTTGTGTCACTACCGCATGCATGTCAAGCAGAAGGACACAACAAAGCTGCCCAATTCCAGGGTCCTCCATCTACCATTTTCCGAAAGGCACAGGCGGAGCTGGGAGGATGACTCTTGCTCAGCCAGATGAATGACAAACCCCAGCAGGCTGCGCAGCGTCAGCCCGGACGAGAGCTGCAGCAGGGCGGATTGGCCAGCGAGGGCTGAGCCCATGCTTCTCCCCACCCAGAACAGCCCACGAACTGGAATAACCCATTGCCCAGCTGGGCGGAAATGTCAAGTGTATATCATGCACACAGCTGACCTTAATTTAAAAAAAAAAAAAAAAAAAAAAGAAAGAAACCCAACCCTCGAAGTGGCAAAACAAGCTGGTGCGTGCAAACAGTCAGGCACTCCTTTCAAAGGGTAAGCTACTGGCAGCAAAAGGGAATCCTAGGAAAGAGCGCAGGTCGGCAAAGCTCAGTCAGCACTGCTCCGTGTTGATTCTGCTGCAGTCCTTGCAGTGTTTACCTTAATTTAATCTGTGTATTATGGAAAACAAGATCTTAAAATAAATACTGTCACATATAGACTTCAAAACCGATCAAATTTGCATAACAACCACTGCATCATAGGGTAAAAGATTTGAGTCATGATTTTGTTGTTATTTTCTTTGATATGGACGATATGAATACTTGAAAGCATATAAATGAATAAAATAAATTGGTTGCAAAGCCAGATGTGGAAGTCACATTTGCCGGCAGTGCTGTAACTCCATTTCTGAAGGAATCCGGCTGAGCACCTATGACTTCCTAAGCAGTTGCTGGCATATCACCAGGCCCCGAGAGTTGCTACGCGCTGAATAAACCCAGTAAGTGAACTTATTAGCCAGAGCGCACGTCTTCGGGGAGAGGGGGCTCACGGCCGGCCGGCCACCCGGCTGGGACAGAGGCACCAGGGCGCGCCTAAGGACCACGGTCTCCACTTTCCACCCCCTCCTCTTCTGTCACCGGCACGGGAGG